GGTACTCAAGTAGGATACTGGGAGCAGGCGACTAAACAACGTCTTAAATTGAAGAGGAAACTCTTCCTGGAATCCCCCTCTCCCCCCCCCCAAAAAAAAGGAGGTCCCCTGATATTATATATTATATATATATTGTGACGGTAACGCGTTGGGCTTCGGCTGTTCAAAGCTAGGGGTATGGCCTCGTCACATAGAATAAAAAAAAAATAGAAAATCTGGAACTTCGTCTGTGGGAAACTATAGGACCACCTGGATAGACTGAAAGACTGTAACCAGGTACTCAAGTAGGATACTGAGAGCAGGCGGCTAAACAACGTCTTAAACTGAAGAGAAAACTCTTCCTGGAATCCCTGATATATATATATATATATATATATATATATATATATATATATATATATATATATATATATATATATATATATATATATATATATATATATATATATATATATATATATATCAGGGGAAAGCGCCTAGTTACTAAGACTATATAGCACTTGGAAGGTATTAGGCTCAGGATTTAGGATGGGGTCCCATTTTCCCCGTTCAACATGCGTCTCCCCTTTTTATGGTACTCAATGCGGCCTTTGTAGCACCTTAAATAATGAAACTTTGATCTGCAAGTTTGTTTTTGACATTTAAATGTATACAGAGTTGTATACAATGTATACAGCGCCTAATACAACGAGACATTATAAAATCTTGGCTAAGTACATCGAATGCCAAGAGGCTTCCCCAGCCATGATGTAGGAAGAAGTATTTTGACTAGTTACATCATCTAAATGCTTCGTTCTGTTGCTGTTGAACTTGTGAGATATTTGTTTACATTCTGAGTAACTTGCCTGCCAGCATAACTCGTGTGAGAGTGTGGTAGAGTGACGGGTATTTGGTGACCACCAGGAGTCGTTCCATTGTTGTTTGTTATGGTGTAATTTAAGTCCAGAGTGATTATATTGTGTGCTAATTGGACCTACTTGTGTTTAGTGGGGTAAGAGTCAAACATTATTCCCATGTCTATGCTTATTATTCACTGATCGTAATGTTTAAGTGCATATTTATGTTGTGATGCAAGTGATAAGTGTTGATAATGTTGGTACAGCAGACTTATAAGTGAGTTCACACTTGCATCCACAACCCTGCATAATGCTGCCTCGAGAGTACAGGAAACACAGAGTGTGACCCAGCACAGTGGCTCCCTCTACACACATGCAGGAACAGTGGCTCCCTAAACACACATGGAGGAACAGTGGCTCCCTCCACACACATGCAGGAACAGTGGCTCCCTCCACACACATGGAGGAACAGTGGCTCCCTCCACACACACACATGGAGGAACAGTGGCTCCCTCCACACACACACATGGAGGAACAGTGGCTCCCTCCACACACACACATGGAGGAACAGTGGCTCCCTCCACACACACATGGAGGA